CTCTTAACTAGGCATTTCTTAGCGTGACTTAGCAACTAAACTAACCCCTTACTTGTACTACAAGGAGCCACTTATGGGTTGATAAAAACCGAAATGACGTTAAGTGTCGCCTATTTTAGCTTCCCTTAGGGATTAATTTAGGGATCCCTTAAAATTTAGAAGGGGTTGGTAAAAACGAGCATTTAAATGTTAAAATTCGTCGACGAAATAGTGCAACATGGACCCTACATTTAAGTAGGTACTAGCTATCCCTAATAGGTACCTACCCACTTAAGGTCGATTTTTCAATCATAAGTAAATTTTTAACTGTAGAATAAAATTGACAGAATTGACAGTTTTAATATCATCATCATAACATCACGCCTTTTATCCGCGAAGGGGTAGGCAAAAGTGCACACTATCTATGCCACTGTACAATGTAACACCCATTTTTCACTATTTATGTTGAGTCTCATGTAATAGAGGGTGAGCCTATTGCCATGTACCGGGCACAATTCCAGACTCCATGCTACTACTTAGAATTGTTTTAAACCCAGTAATACTTTGCCCGACCCGAGGATCGAACCCGAGACCCCTTGCCCGGTAGTCGCACTTGCGACCACACGCCCAAAGAGGCAGTCTTGAATACGGAAGAATTGTAAAATATTGAAAGTTATTCCTCAGTTAAAATTTTACTGAGCTTTGTAAAATCGGCCCTAAGTGTGCGAAGGTCTCTTCTAGTCAACAACACATCAGTGATTTATATCAACTCAGAGATGAGGATATGGTGGTGTGTGCATTTGCAAAATTAGTATTTTTCCGAGAAGCAAGCTCGCGAGTTCTCTTTGATATTATTTACCTTTCTTACCGACTACTGAAGCTAGGTTGCTTTATATTTTATATGATATTCAAGCAACTCGTGGGCTATGTCGCACCCAGTAGTAATATTGTGGTTATTATCTTATTCACCTTTGATTTTATGTGGTAATTAGTTGAATAGTTTTCAATATTTTGTTGGTATACAAGGTATAGTTTTAAAGCCGTGTCATTTCTCGGGGGCATGTCACAGAAGTCATAAAGGTTCAATGTAACAGAAAATTTCGGGCCAGTAGTTAAAAATACGGCTATAATAAATCGTTTAAGTTCGACAGTATTTCAGAATAAGTGACAGCAATGTTTCTTATTGGAGTTTTATGGAATTGGGAATAATATCAATTACGTGTTTGAGTTTGTGTGTGTTAAGCCGCGTTATAAAGCTAGTTACAAGAAGGCGGCGTGTACTTCGCACTTACGGATTTCCGTAATTTCAGAAAAATTAAAAATATTTACCTACATTTTTTTTTTATTGATTCGGACTCAGAATCGATAGCCGAGTTATCTCCTAGAAAATGACGCGACTTTAAAACAACATTTTGTATATAGCAAAGTTCCTACTTATTAAATACCCACCTACAGAATGACAAACATGTTTTAGTTAGGGGCCTTTTTATTTTTCAAACATCTTACTACGAAGGAAAAGGTTAGGTTTCTTTAAAATTGTATATTTTGACATATTATTATTGTGATAAAACCTTTTGCCACACTGCTGGAATAAAACCTTAAATTCTATGTGGGGAATATTTTCCTCGAGTCCAGTTAACAGTTAAAGCATCTTATACATAGCATGCATATTAAGTGTGTTGTTATTTAGTAAGTCACTAAAATGATAAGTATGTAAATAAAGAAGAGAAGTAATAACAATATGTTAGGAGAAATAATATGTTATCCTAGTTGTAAGCATTTTTGTAATTAGTTTCTATTAATTGTAACATTTTAACTTTATTATATTGAAAAATTTAACTTTGCATGCCGAAAACAGTAGGCGATGTATGTGGGACTATTTTTCTATAATTATTATTACCTGTAATTACCATACTTCGTGCAAATAAACGTTCTTATTCTTATTCTAGGAAACAGATCCAAGGACGTTGAAAAAAAGGGGGAAACAGTGAAATACAGTCTCTTGAAACAACGACTGTGGTACCTGGCTACTATACTTACATGCAGATTACACACACATTGACACGAAAGACATCTGTAATTTTCTTAAGTCTGGTCACGTGGTAACTCATTACACACATAATTAATCCACTGACCATTTTGTGCTTCAATCTAGGTGACATGTCCGCCGTCCTTGAACAGATCAGATTTCTCATTGATAATAATCAATTCTGTCTTCTGATCTCCTTCTTCAACAACTTCAGCTTCCCAAACAAATCACTAACCAAATTAGTAAGATCTGTCTCTATAAAGATATAGTTTTAAAACAAGAATCAAGTTTAAATGGACAATAGATATCCACATAAACGTCAAATATTCAGACATCAGTGACAGAAGGTTTACTATCAAAAAACCCTTGATAAAGTATCGCTAAATCTTTAATGTTGTTGCATAGGTAGGTACGTACTTAAGCGAACTAAGCATAACCATTTCGTCAGTCTCTACCAATGAAACCTTTGTGTGGTGCAGAGATGAAACAAATACGTAAAATTGATTCTGTAGAAAAATAGGAATATTTACATCGCCATTTTTCAGACAAAATACCTACCTAAACGTATGTAATTGTGCATTTGAAGTGATTTAAAGTCAACCGCCGATCCACCTTTATTATTACATACATACCATAACATCACGCCTTTTATCCCCGAAGGGGTAGGCACAGGTGCACACAGAGGTAACACCCACTTTTTCACTATTTATGTTATGAGTTCCATGTAATAGGGGGCGAGCCTATTGCCATATACCGGGCACAATTCCAGACTCCGTGCTACTACTGAGATTTTTAAAAACCCAGTTATACTTTGCCCTACCCGGGAATCGAACCCGAGACCCCTTACCCGACAGTAACACTTGCGACCACTTTATCATTATTATTCTGTAATTGACACGAAAAAGAAAAAAATACCTTAAGTGAAGCAATTAACCGCTTGAATGCCTGTATATGAGACACAATAGAAAATATATTGTGTCTCGCGTGGATCCACGTTTAGACACACGACGGGTTAAACGTAAAGATACTCTCAAAATAAATGAACCGATCCTTCTCCTAATCTCCTCTATAGTGTAAGGCCCTGTAGGTAGGCATGTCATAATAGAGGACCCTTATAAGTTTTATAATACACAGCTCCTTGTTAGTTTACCTTGATCATTTTTACTGATTAATACTCTCATAAAGAATATTCTGACCTACGTTTCATAGGTAATAAAATACATGTGAATTGGTTATCACATAGGTATGTACAGCTAGAAGCTACCTAGTCCCTACCTACTTATTGTCTTCTTTAAAGTTATTGATTCCAACTACTAATGTTTTATTTTATTTTTAGCTTTAAATGAGACTACCATGGATCCACAAATTCTATAGACGTATCGGACAAAAAATTACTGAAGTTTTTTTTCAGTTTTATAGAGGTTTTTCCGCAATACACCTTAATTGACAAATCAACAAATGTTTTTGGCTTCATAAATAAAAACATTGATATTAATACACAACGAATACATACCTATCTACCTACTCTAAATATACACTTAAATATATTTCTCTTCAAACCCATTTCCCTGAACATCTTATAACTATTAGATAAACGAGGTTAGCTATCGAGACTATCCATAATCCAATCACTAGGGAATAATTAAGAGATTGAACAGCCCTCGCTGTGGGCAGAATCAGGCTGAATATGTTCGTGCCTTTGCCAGCTTTCACTTTAATACTGTGACTTTGGCGGGAACAAGTGCACTTTGGAAAATTGGCGCAAATTTATCTATAGTTTTTTTTTATTTTGTTTAACCGCTTGAATGCACCGATATGAGACACAATAAAAAATACATTGTCTCGCGTGGATCCACGTTTAGATATACGACGGGTTAATAAATGTAAATCAATCGATAGGGAAGTAGGTAGGTACATACGTAGCTACTTTAATTTTAAGTATTAGAGTAGTACCCAAAAGTATTAGTATGTAAATATTGTTTTTCGTCGTACAATTTCAGTAGTAGTAGATTTTAATAGTATGTTACGTATCAGTGCCGACACATGTACCTACACCGTGATCAACGCCGTGTCGCCAGGCCCAGATCTGCTGAATCAGGACATTACACGTACTTTGATGCAACGAAGGTTCTACGGAGTATTGCAACATTCGAACTGCAGAGTCGTCTCCTCTTGTCGCCGCCTTGTCCCAGCGACGAATCGCTACATCATCGTTCAAGCCACTAGATTTAACCTCAATAAAACCGTCATACTAATTTACGTTACGTTAGTTAGATTTTAAGAGTTAACATGTAATTTTATAATTATAATAAACTTAGTTTAATGATTATAGTTTTCATTTGCACCCTCTGTCGGTGGCAGAAACATAACTTACTAGTTACAATAATATAAATAAAAATATCTAACTTACCAGTAGGTAAGTATTACCAACAAGTACAAAATTTTCGAGCTACTGCCCTAAAAGTGCAGTTTTGGGCATCTAGTTCTCAGCTACGGACGCATAAAATATTGAAGATTGATCGAAACTGAATATTGGTACCGAGCCCGGTGTAGTGAGGAAAAGACTAAAATGGAGATAAATCCATCTGTTCCTGCCCTAGAAAGTTCGGGAGCTCCAATTTACAAGCGATTTTGATAAAAATTTTCGGTTACCTGCTTTCAGTGTAACCGGGGAAAAACGTGACCAAAATTCTGAATACTTTGAACGGACAGGACGTACGACTTTCTTTAGAAGAAAATTGTTAGGTAGGTATTCTTTGTTAAACTCATCTAACTAACTCAACTTGAGCTAATTACTGACTTAGCTTAGTTACTGACGATCGAATCAACTAAACCGCAGGGGAACTAAAAACAAAATACACTTTTTTAATAATAATAAACAATTTATTATTAAAATTTCACAATTACCGAAATCAAACCTTTGGAATCATAAATTGACTTATGTATCATAACAATAAAAACTTAAAAAGTCAAAAGAACATAATCTAATGACTTAAGATTAGTTCTAGATAAAAATCACAATAATGTATTATTATTATTTATAGAATGTTGCTGTAATGTAAAATTAAGAAAGTACCTACGAATTTTTATGTCGAATAACTAATAAAGAGTATTATACCTACCAACTTTCACTATATATAACTACTAAAACAATGTATATCGGACATTGTGCTATGAGGCACAGTACAACGGAAATTTTGTATGTAAACTGCAAATCATCATAACGACGATTGTACGACAAAATTGTAACATGTAGATGTTACGAATTAAGGCTTCGTAGGTACATATATTTAATGTACATAATATTCTCATTCTCGAAATAAGTAGATCTTTTTTTTAATCTTATATAGGTAGTCAGTCATCCCATTAAGGCCTAACATACACGAACTGCTCGAGCAGTTACTCAGTAACAAAACTTACACCGCCGTGGCAAACGGAGTGAACACCTTGAAGCTGCCATTGATAACTCTTTCAGTCAAACTTTTAAATGGTCAATAATATATTTTAATTAATTATAGTGCAATTCTTAGAAAAACTAGGGCAAACACAACTGAAGCATATTTTAATAATTGAATTTCTAATATAAGGTGGTGAGCTACAGTGATGACGTGCGAGGTCATCTTAATGGACGTAATCATCTAAATGACGTGCAATGAAAAGCGTGGACGGGGGTGGACGCACGAGAGGAGTTGGCAACGAGAGGAGTTGGCAGTGAGAGGAGTCGGTGCATGCCTGACGACTGCTCGACCGCATGATAGAATGTCAACTGCCCGATGCAGTAGCAACTGCTCAAGCATGTATGTACGTAATTACGTAAATAGTAGAAGTCTATAGTTCACTATGCAGTCGTAACTAGAAGCAGTCGATTCTGACTGCTTTAAGCAGTCCGTGTATAACAGGCCTAAATGTACATTAAAATTGTTATATCTAAATTACTTTAGAAGTTATCATATCACTCCTTTGAAGGACACTATGAGACAGAAACACAATTTTAGAAGTCCAAAACACAAAAAATTGGTCCAAGGACCCGTGCGAACTCAGAAAACGCCATTTTTCATAACAATCTCTTAAATTTTAAGGAACACCTAATATAGGTGCATGACACTTTACTTTCAATTCAATAATAAACTATGACTTGTGGAACGCCTTAAAGCATCCCAAAATACAAAGATTCACGTTACATTCCTCGCATTTCCAAACTGTTCTGGTTTTTTTAGGGCAAAACCGACAACGTGTGTGATAACTCCCTGTACGCATCGGGAAGTGGTTACCTTCCACCGTCGGTCTTGCTTTAATATTCCTTCGTTTTTCTAATGTCTTTACGTCTCCAGTCATGTTGGAACTAGGAACTTCGGGATTTATATTCAAACTTCGGGATTCCCTTATTATACATATTTGCCTATGTATCCTGACTAAATCTTCTGCTAATGCTACACGGAAATTACGATGTGTTATTCCAGTGTGAAAACTGGAATATATTACAAAACAGTTGAATATACCTGCATTGTACAACCGGTAGAAGAGCGTTTTATACCAGCCTCTGCATCGAACCCGGTTCATAGGTTGAGGTGATTGGAATTGGTCCTTTTTATGAAGTGTTGCCATACACTTCTTATAGTCGTCTACTATTATTGGTTTATAACCCATTTTGTTAGTGGTTTCTAAAGAACGGGTTTGGAAATTATGGTATGTTGAGATCATACTAACAATGTTGGCATCTCGCCATACCATAATACCCAAATCAGAACAGTGCGTGCCTATTGCTTCTCCTTGTCGAAGATTTTTCTTTGTTAATTTCTTTACAGAATCAGGAACGAATTCTCTGCTCAGTCGTAAGGTTCCATAACAATCCGTCTTGTGTTTCTTCAGGTGTCGCAATAATAATGGACTATTATAAAAATTATCCATTATCAAAGTATGTCCACGATGAAGCAGCGGCTCGATCAAGTTGTAAACAATTTTAATACTACAGTCTTCATTTTCACTCGGTATAATATCAACAGCTTCAACATCTTTAGCAAATTGATCAATTATTGTCTCCTCCTTATCTAGTTCGCCATTTGTATCATCCTCGTCTAGGTCATCATTTGTGTGTGCCTCATCGAGTCCAGTTGATTTGTCTTTGCCAGCATCTACGTAAAATTTCCAGAGGTAACTCGTCAATGATTCACACAACTCATAAGTTTTTACTCCTGTTCTTGCGGCTCTGGATGAAACTTTTTGGGCGAAACTTAATCTCCCATTACATTTCAAGAGAGTTTCATCGATGACTATCTCTTGTGAAGGCATGTAGAGGCCAGAAAATTTTAAATTCAAGTAATCAATGACGGGTTTTATTTTACCGAGTCTAGTGGTGTCCTGTATGTCATGGTTATTCTCGAAACATAAGCAATCTTTTAGCAATGTAAAACGGTCATATGACATAATTTTTGCGAAATAGGGCGTAGTGCCAAAACCATTAAACACAAAGTAGGCTTTGTCGTTTTGAAGCCGATAAAGGCCTTGCAGGATAATTATAGCCAAAAAGGTTATCATTTCGTCTCTATCTATGGGAACCCACTGATAAAATCGGGATTGCGTTGTAAATTTGTTTTGTTTTCGGCTCAAAGCAATCATGTCTTCTGCTTTCCTATTGGTTGCAATACATAAAAGTTCAATGAAATCATTGTCAAACATTTCGTAAAATATTTCAATAGGCTTAGTCTGTTTTGTCAATTTTAATGTGGGTCCCGGTTTACTTGAAAATGTCTCCCGTCGTCCTTGAAACATTAATGTGTCAGTATTCCATATGAAGGTGGAACTGCAGTTTTTAGAGACTATTTTGCGTATAGCTTTATCATTGACTTCATCCTCCTTCTTTAACACTGCAGCTTGAAACTGCGTTAAGTCTATTTCGCGTGCGGGCTCCGCCGTAGCACTTCGTTCGTACGTGGACTGAAGAAGGTCGTCTTCAGAATCACCGATGTCGGAACCTTTATTGATACAACCTGGAATAAAAGTAATATTCGTATTGTGTTACTTATTACAATTTAAGAATGTTTCATAGTAGTTATTCGTACTTACCATTATAATGTAATAGCTCAGGTTTAGGGGATGAGGCTTTTGCACCACCGCCTTAAAGAAAAAACACACAATAGTTAAAAACAGGTATTCTAAGTTTCACACTGTTCATCTGAATCAGAGTTAGTACGATATAATCGACGGCGAACTAAGAAGACAATCTACAAATAATGCACTTACATGGTCCGTTTTTTGTAGTATTACGTCGTGCTCGTTTTGGCTCGCCATACTTAAAAACATCGGCTGTAACAAACACATCTTTATATCAACAGCCTCTTACAAAGTCTTGTGAGTTTTGAAAATATACTAAATTTTTTATGTGGGAGAACCATGCTACCACGGCCTCACAGAAAACCGACGTGAAGCAACGCTTGCGTTGTGTTTCGTCGTGTGAGTGAGGTTACCGGAGGCCCAATACCCCCCTCCCCAGTCTCCCCAATCCCCGAATCCTCCACAATCCTCAAATTCCCAATTCCCAAAAGGCCGGTAACATACTTGTAACGCCTTGGTGTTTCAGGTGTCCATGGGTGGCGCCGATTGCTTGCCGTCAGGTGATCCGTCTGCTCGTTCACCGGCTTATGCCATAAAAAAACTCCGCCTCCATAATAATAAGAAAATCATTTGTTATTGCTCCCCTATACTCCCCAAGGTACCTACATCATTCAGTCTGTACAGTTATTTGGTATACAGGTACGAAAAATTAAGATTGATTCAATAGACACAGTGACCATTAGTTGGTTACTGAGCCAATAAAGTACTGAGTACAAAATATGATTTAATGTAACAATAGCTACTGTCTCTGTACTGAGTCAATCATTATTTTCTTAGCTGCCAAATAGCTGGGCCGGTTGCAGTACATGCGAAGTTTTAGCTTCCTAGATCCAGTACTTTCAGCTGTGCTGCCAGTCAGTCAGTCTCTGAGTGACGGAATAGCTAAATACCCCAAGCTTCGGTTTGTTACTTTTGTATGTATTTATCAGTAAAAAAATAATATAAAAACGTACCATCTAAATCGACTTCCTCATCATCTTGGAAGACTATATGGAATGAAGGCGGTTGTGCAGACGAAGACGGCTGAACCACAGGTGTTTCTTTCAGAGGAAGTTCTGCAACAATATATGATAATATATTGTAACTCGAAATACTTGTACATTGCTCACTTTTAAACAAACGCAGATACATTTATAAATTTCGTGAGACATATTAAATTAACTCATCGAGTACCGTCTTTATAGACACAATTATAGAACAATAGGTTGCGGTCACCGGTGACCGCTTGGTGTTTGACAGTTTAAATTAATATATTTCTAGGCTTACTCACGTAATTATTTGACGAGGAACTCGACTAGTTTCAACTCATGTTAAACTAGTATCATACTAGTAGCAGTACGACAATCACCGGTCGCGGGTCGCGGAATACTGCTCATGAATATGAGCCTCGAGCATCGCTTGAAACTAGTCGAGTTCTCGTCAAATAATTACGTGAGTAAGCCGAAAAACACAATAATTAAACGCAGGTATTGATCGAAAATATAACACTTCTTTATGCTTCACTGCAGTCGGGTAGAAAACTAGCTTTTATCAGTAGCTTTGACCGCGTTACTACATACCTTGTGAATTGGGGATTTCCGTCTTTTTAGCGATTTTACGACGACGACTATTACTATTTACTATTTTCAATGGGGGATCTGCAACAAGTAATTAATAAGTAACGTTTTGAAACAACCCACTACCAACGGCACTGGTAAACGTGCCGTGCGTCTCAACATGGTGACGCCGGACGTGGGGACATAGTGGACATACACACTCCGCCAGGGGGCGACACACACAGTGGGCTGCAAGTATTCATAAAGTGAATGTTTGAAATTATTTAAAAATATATACTCACTCGAATTACGGTCATCTTCCTCTTTGTCTTTACCAGATGACGGTCCAGGAGGTAAGGTGTCTTTGGTCTTATTGACAAAGTGTACTTGTGAAGGTTATTCTGAAGCAAGTTTTGATAATATTGAAATACAAAGTATATACTTATGAAGTAACTAGACTACGCGGTTGGTGCAGTGGCTGGGCAACCGGTTGCCGCGCTACGTGTAGCGGGTTCGATTCCCACACGGACCAACTCTTAGTGTGATCCATCTATTGTTGTTTCGGGTCTGGGTGTCATGTGTATGTGAACTTTACAAGAAGTAAACGGATATGCGTGTGGATTGAGACATCTTTTTCAAGTAAATTGTATTGTGAACCTGATTGAAATCGTTCTTCTCCATAGGAATCTACGCCTTGGAATGAGCCAATAGCTTCACTTTCAATTTTTTTTGTTGACGTTCAAAAGTGCCATTCTGGCCTAATTGAAATAAATGATTTTGACTTTGACTTTTCAAAAAACTCTTCTAATCCCAAGCAAATTATAAGAGCATTTACAACTTTGCAGTAACTTGTCATTTAAAAACGTTATTTTATATTATTTAAATTAAAACCAGAACACCAGAAACAGAAACACAAATTACTCGTATGAAAACGTTTAAAGTGCATCATAATTTGAATTGTACCGGTAATGATTCCGACCGGCGCGGCGATATGGTCACCCTACTCAACATTTTCTTAAAGATTGTAAAAAATGGTTTATCTTTTTAAATACAACACTTGAACTTTTTTTTTTAGAGATATTACCTGACATTTGAATTTGTACGTTTTTTTTTTTAATTTTTGACATTGTTAATTGGTTTATTGACATCTGAAATGTGATTATTATTGTTCTATTGACATTGTAATTTATTCATTGAAGCCTAAAATTTTTGTTTTTGACATTTTTAATTTAATAACTCTGGATTTCAATTTGAGAATTTAATTTATTAATTATTTCAATTTCTCCGCTTTTTAATTATTGATATTCAACAACATTGTAGTTTATTTTTATTTTGTTTTGAATTGGAGTCATTATTGATTATTGGAAATTGTAACTTAGTTTGTCTTGTTTTGATTTGGAATCATTAGCAAGGGTTGTGTTTAGATTGTTTGTTCTAACTTAGAATCATTTTTGAAAATTGTGATTTAGTTTTATTGAAGTATTTGCATGCCAAATTTATAGGCGAGATATGATGAACTAATGTTATGTCATAAAATCTGTAAACCACCATATTTTAGGCAAATAAATGAATCTAGAAATTCTAGGGCAACCAGTAAGATTTCAATCACGATTTTGGTTTTACAAATTTTCCTAGAAGCATAATTTGCAATAAACATGTGTTAACTATTCATACTTTTTCAGTATAAGATCGTGTTTTACAAGATCACTCAAATGAAAACTGTTCACTCTGAGTGATCCATATAACCCGTTGTAAATATTATACGTGGCTTTGAAACGAATCGAAATTTCGTCTAGCAGAGGACCAAGCAGGAATAACTATCGCATTCGTATCGTAACAGTATCGAGCGAAGTAAGCGTTCTGATTGGTTGGTTCACTCGAGCCGGCCAATCAGAGCGCCGAACGCACTCGATACTATTACGTTACGATTGCGATAGTTATTCGTGTTTGGTACTCAGCTTTCACAAATCCTATACATTTATTTACAGTGCAAATTATAACCACATAGGCAGTATATTCTTGGATACGCGTTATGGCTTTTTCTTCTGGTGTCCAGATTGAGAGATCCAGTAAATTAGTTCTAACTTTCTTCTTACCATGGAGTTCACAATTATTTCCTAAACATAACATAACATAACATCACGCCTTTTATCCCCGAAGGGGTAGGCAGAGGTGCACATTATGCCACTGTACAATGTAACAACCACTTTTCACTATTTATGTTATGAGTCCCATGTAATAGGGGGTGAGCCTATTGCCATATACCGGGCACAATTTCAGACTCCGTGCTACTACTGACATTTTTTTTAAATCCCAGTAATACTTTGCCCGACCCGGGAATCGAACCCGAGACCCCTTGCCCGGCAATCGCAATTGCGACCACTCGGCCAGTTATTTCCTAAATGCTCTTATAATTTGCTTGGGATTGGAAGAGTTTTTCGAAAAGTTCTCTCAATCCACACGCACATTGTATACGAAACGCTCCCGAAGCGCTGATACAAAGAAATTGCATTTACAATTTTAATCGATTTTTTTTTGTGTTATTTGTGCAACACCAGCTTCGAGCATTTGAGTGCAACTATTATTACATAAAGGAAACATGTAAATTGTAACCTATATGAAAATAAAACTTGGTTCTTACAATCACCTGTCCGCGTTATTTTGGAGCTTCCATTTACACCTGTATAAGTTACAAACATACGTTTGTAAAGCACCCACGACACAGGACAATATTGTCAATACGTCCAATATTGAACAGCTGCTGTGATTGGACAACGAATCCTCCTTCTATTTTTGCGCCATCTAGTGAGCAAAAATAACTATGTTTTTTTTTTTTAAAATAAAACGTTGCCCCACACTAGGATTTTCTCCTGTATCGTGGGTGCGTTTACAAACATACAAGTTCACATACACAATGACACCCAGACCCGAAACAACAATCTGTGGATCACACAAAGTGTTGTCTCGTGCGGGAATCGAACCCGCGACACGTTGCACGGCAGCCAGTTGCCCAGCCACCGCACCAACAGTGCAGTCATTTATTTTCTTTTATTCTTCTTCTATTCTTCTTTTATTCTATTATCAGCATTACATTTATAATCTCACACTACAACAGCCATTAGAAAACATACCAATATTACAGTGGACGTCCTCAATATTGACGATATCAGATAAATGCTCAGATGTTGAAGTCTCAAGCACAGAGTCCGCGTTCGAAGTTTGTTCTGCAACAAATTATGATATATTAGCGAGTGTTTGTCTACTTTACAATGCACCAGTGGCTTCGCCCGCGTCCCCACGTGTAAAACGTTGCTTATGTGTTGCCCCAGACCACTGACCACAATCTACCTCTATTCCAAATTTCATCGCGGTCCCTTCAGCCGTTGCGATGTGACCGAGTAAGTGAGTAACAAACATATACACAGACTCACATGTTTTCATATATATATATATAATATATCGGTTCTTTTGCAACCATCGGCCCTACAGTTAGAATACAACGTAAAGTCCACTTCGGGCAACATAGCAATCGACAAACTTATATTTGCGTTTGGTACAGTAACTTTGCCGCACAATTAACTTTGTATTTTCGTGTACCTACATACTTTTTCGAGTCAAAAAGTACTCATTGTTGTGACCAGGATGTTGAAGTATAATCATACCAAGTTTCATCGTAATCAGACCGGTAGTTTTGACCGGTAGATATGTGATGCGTGAACATACAGATAGACAGATAAAATATTTTTTCATCGCTTTAGAAAACATACCGTTATTACAGTGGACGTCCTCAATATCGACGATATCAGATAAATGTTCAGATGTTGAAGTCTCAAAAACAGAGTCCGCGTTCGAAGTTTGTTCTGCAACACAAGAGTGAAGCGTTTTAAATAACATTCTCCTTTGTACAGTAACTATTGCGAGACATACAAAATTAATTACAATAACAGACCCAACGTCTAAAATCAATGAGTAAAAGTTCCATTGTAACTTGAAACTGGTAGCGCTTTAGGGAACAGAGAGTATAATAGTTCCCTAAGATCGGAAAAGGAGGATCCTCCGACCAGGCGAGGTGATCGTGCCTGGTGGGCTTTCTGACCTACAGTTGTTCGTTGGGATTTTCTATCCGTGTTTATTCGCTTGTAAACTTTGCATGTGCGATGTAGGATTCTTGTGACGTCAGCCGTTGACATGTGACATGTGTCGCCATAGGGCTATTCAATTAACCAATCTAAAAGAACATAGGTACTATAGATAGGAAAAAAAAAGTATACCGCTCGAATAGATTTTGGGCGTAGCTTCAGCTGTCGAAACGTTGGACAGCTGAAGAGGATCTTCAATTGTATGTGGACTGAAATAAAAGATAAATAAATGAAATAGGTACAGTTAATAATAATATTGAGTGACAGAAAAATATTGATAGGTCTGTAGGTACCTAAATACAACAGGGCAGTTCGCGGTTTCTTCCACTACCTTCTCCTTCTTTGTACGCCATGCTTCCACCCGGCTGCAATTTGTTAAAACTTGCTCAATACATAATACTATTTGAAACTAACCTTAAGGAGGCCATACACGCTAGGTTTTGCATGATGGTTTTAGCCGTGCATGCATAACCGACAGGCAAGCCCTAGCGTGTATGTGATTAAACTGTACAGTCATCGCTGCATCGGTGCTCGGTTATGCATGCACCCAGTGGCGTGCACAGGGTTTTAGAACAGGGTAGGCAACATAATATTGTATTATGATTAAACTCATCGTAAATACATAACATAATTCAACTTATGAGGTTTTTAATCTTTCGTCAATTCTTTGTAACAGTGCCATCTCTCGTTGTTTTCGTGAAGTATTACATCAACTTATTGATTACTCTAACAACTTAAAAACATTAATATTCTATTTTTCTCTTTAGATTTGTAAAACTAATCTGCATAATTACCTACTCGAGGTGCTGTATAACGATTAATCTAATTTATGTTATCAATTCAGTAGCAGTAACGAATTGTTCATTCTAAAAATTGTACTGAACTGGCGGCCTGTCCAGCCTTCTCACGTTTAATACAAGAATATTACGAATTCTTTACTCTTTTAATTTAATTCTTCGAATTAATAAGTTTGGTTCATCTATTCAAGAGATATTATGATTTTAAGAACTTGGGTATGACTAATAGAAAAATCGAACCGAGCGCGGCCGGCTGCGGCCGAGCCGAGTAAGCGGTAGTACATTTTTTAGTATTATTAAACATTCATTTACCTAGCTTATTCTTCTTCATTTCATTTTATAATTAGTACATAACATATTACTTAAAGCTTCGTTATTTTTACTGACTGAGTTGCCGCGACGGGAAGCTCCGCGTAGGTACCTACTTATGTTACATAACCTAATCACATTAAAATAAAGTAACTTTCATAGAACTTACCAAGACAAGACTATCAGAAGAAAAACTCACACACAATCTAATCACTAAGCGATGGTCTGCGATAGTTTATAATTCTTTACCAACTTTTGTCAATACAAACTTCACAGTTCTTCGTATAACTTTGCAAAATCAATTAACAAATAAACAAACACAGTAATAAAATGTACTTATATAAATAGACAATTTTATACCGTTTACTACAAATTATTTGCGTAGAATTACTAATCGTATTCTAAATCAAATAACAAAATTATCCGAAAATCCACGCATCGCACGTAAACAAAAACAAAAAAATTGTCACGCGCGAGCGGCGTGAAGTTCGCTGCGAGGCGACCAATGAGTAAACCAAGACACGGAACGTGATTGGTCGGCTCGCGGCGAACTTCATACGCGGCGAACTCAATCACGAGTCGTCAGGCCGTGCCTGCAGGCAAGCTTCGCGACGATAAAATAAACGCGTCTGTGCACTACGCACACAATGACGTTCACCACTACACGCTTAAATTTATGAATGGTTTGCAGGCGACGGAACCGCGTGCCTGCCTCGCGCGTTAATGTTTACAGCTATATACGGTACGCCTGGCGAAATGCAACACGTATCGCGCGCCATCATTGTTGCTATACTATTTATTTTAGGCGTTCACTAATTTTATTATAATTATTATTTTAGTATTCTGTAGTAAAATTAAAATGTTTATATCTTTTATTACGTAGTGTTATTCACGGTATTTGTAAGGTAGGCAAAGTCTTTTTGCCTATATGGACTGCACGCCACTGCATGCACCTGCATGCACTGCTAAAACCATCATGCAAAACCGTGTATGGCCTTATTTATCGAGCATACGACCATAACGACCTTTTCTTTTTTTCATAGTAAAGGAAAAATAGCGGTAAACGAAGACTAGAATATGAACCAATGATTATCAAATAAACTCCACCCACGTAAATCTGATTCGAGATCTTGTGGGAATCTGATTTACTCACTATAGAAAAGAACTTTGATGATGTCGTTTGAATGCGGCTTGCACCTTTTTTCGTGATTTTCGCGGCCCTGAATACTTGTGGCGTTTATACGCAAGTTTATTAGTCGGGTTCATCTTTTATTAAGCAGTTTAGTTGCAATTCAATCTGTAATCAAAAAGAATAATTAAAAACAACAGCCAATGTATCTTATTTTTTTTTTCTTATTATCGGCAACAGAGTCTCGAATACGGTGTTGTCGACTATTCTGCCAGTGTCGAGTGATGACGGCAGATTATTGGGTCGTCGAACTTAACTTTTTGGTAGTTTTAGTTGTTAATTATCCGGGATGGGTTGGGACCTAGCGAGGATGACGCTACCTACACAATTGAGGATCGGACGTCACAAGTAAGTAAGTCCGATCTATTTAATTGTAGGTAGCGTCATCTTAGCAACTGAAAAGTGAAGTGGACATTTTTGCTGACACACTACCGAATTTTAAAAAGGCTGTAGTGGGATTGTTTAGAGACCATAATGAGTAGATTTTTATTTTTAATATGAACTTATATTTTTTATTTTATGTTTTAATTTTAATTTTAAGTATTTTTCAGTTTTTAGTTTATTTTTCAATTGTCACAAATACTGATAAAAGTGTCATCGTTAGGCTACTGTGCATGTTGTGACACCTTAAAATATTGTGCATTTAAAATTTATTACTATGTAAGTGCTTAGATGTAAGACCCAATGTAGCAATTACTGGTTATCCAAATTATAAATAAATAAAGGACAAAACACTTGGGTTAGTAAACATATATCACAAGTACACTTACATTACATTGCCTAACACATAATAGATAATTAAATAATACATAAAAGAGAAATAATTATAACACACAATAATTACATTATTAAACACCGTTATATGTTAATATTTTAATTTATAAATTTGGACAAACCCGTAATTAATTTATTACAGTGTTGATGGCCACGCTTTGTCCTAGAGCACTTCATGACTTGCAACAATAGCACGTGTTTATCAGAGCTCTCTAGTGAGGAAAATATCAATATAAAACATATTTGTATTGTCTAATGACAAAATAACTGTGAATGTGGTATATAAAGAAATTTTGTAGTAGGTATTTTTACATACGCACTAGGGGTCGCAATACCGAATCATTTAAGCAAAACCGGTATTTTCGGTATTGGCTTCAGACTAATACCGATAATCCGGTATTTTCAATATTTCCGGGATTAAGATAAAGTTAGCAAATTTAGTATAATAAAGTTAGTCTGCGGAGGAATAGTAAGTAGGTATCTAACCAAAATGAATTTATCTTCGAAATAAAACAAAATATTCATTAACGCAAGGTTTATTATTTGATATGTTGGTAATCAATCAGTTAGTTCTTAGCAATAATTTACTAATATAAATGCCCGTTTATTCCTTTATTAAAGTAACTCAGGTTAACTAGTTCAAATACTTTAATCAAATGTAGTGTTTGACTAGGAAGTGGGATCACTACTAGGAATCAGTTCTAAAAATAAAATGTTTATCAAATTTGAACATCTCACAACAGTCTCAACATAAACAAAACGAACCAAAAAATGCACTTTTTATTAATAAAAACACATAAAATTAACAAATTCTCATAAACATAAAATTAACTCTTAGAATGGTTTACTAATCAACAATCAATATTCTAATTAACAAAATAACAAAAATGCTTAAATTAAATTCAGTCCAAATCAAATTGAGTTATATAGACTCTATATTATAGAGGTAATCAAAATATTATTAAATCTCCATTAAATTTTTAGTTGGCCTTGTAATGAGATAGTAGAAACAGTAAAGTATCTAAACTTTTATCACTCAATCTTGACCGCAAATGATTACACAAGTAACCCGATGAAGAGAAAGCTATCTCTGACTCTACACTAGTTGGTGGAATACTCATTAAATTGTTGAAGGCCATACTCAAATATTTTCCTCTAGACCCACCGTTTTCGTAAAGAGCCATTTCATATGATTAAAGTGTCAAAATCAGGTGTAGTTTCTATTGGTGTGCTGTTCTGAATTAGTATTTGCTTTTCCACTGCCATTTCTAACTGTTTCTTTAGCGGCACTGAAGCTGAAAGGAGATCATCATATGCAGAAACAGTAACATCATGTGTAGATTCCATATTAAAATTTTCTTTGGGTTTGACAACATCCACAATGTGTTTTCTCATCTCTGTGCAATCTGGCCTTAAAAATACATCATATTTTTTATTTATTTTACTAAAACCGAAAATACCGAATATCTCGGTTTTTGAGAAATGAATACCGGTATTAATTAGACCTAAATTTGGCTCGGTATTCCGGTATTTTCGAAATTCGGTATCCCGGTTTGCGACCCCTAATACGCACCCGTGTGAAGCCGGGGCGGGTCTCTACTATTAACTAAATGTATCAGGTGACCCTTCCTGGGAAACGTACTCCTCACGCTCCATTCATCATCATCATCTAGCCTATAAATGCCCACTGCTGAGGAAAGCCTCTTCTCACACGGAGTAGATTTGAGCATTAATCACCACGCGGGTTGGCGTTTACAAACTTATAATTAGAAATTATAAGCCCAGGTTTCCTCACGATGTTTTCCTTCACCGTTGTTTGTGTTAGAAAGTACATATAACTCGAAAAAAGTCACATTGGTACTTGCCGTTGGCAGGTTTCGAACCCGCACCCTCATGCATGAGAAGCGCGTCTTAAACCTCCGGGCCACAACGACGGCCACCACAATTTTAATATTGCTAATGTTGATTCCTTGTCAAGAACGTCCCGAATTTGATTGGGTGGTGAGTAGTGCCAGTCTGGGAGTCTGAGCGAAACATGGACAATATAGTGAGTATAACACTGCCTACCATTAATGCTTTTCGCTAACTTCGGAGGGTTGATAGAGAAGATAATGGGAGAGCCTGCAGGTCTTTTTCTATTAATATTGTTTCCGGAATCCATGGATTCAAGATCCTGGTTGTCATGGAGGAGCGAGACACATAAAATGGGATTGTACTCCAGAGATTTGTCGGGAGGGTCAGGAGGCTTCTCCTCGTCCGTAATATAAATAAAAAAAAAAAAGTAAGAAAGGTGGGAAGAGGAAACAAGAGATCAAAGTTAAAAGTACAATACCTTACTAAAAATAATACACACACAATTGAACAGCACAATAAATAAATAAAAGATTTCAATTTAGATCACTAAAATTGATAACAATCGTATGACCGATAAAAACACGTGCGACCTTCAGCACTACTAACGAAAGTCTGCCAATATCTTTTTACACACAATATTTTGGATTATATTCAAAAATAACCAGTACATTGTACAACATGAGTCAAAACATCAAAAACTAATCCAAATTTGACATTGACATTTTGACAATATTCCATAGAGTTGTAAGTAGAGTCCATTTCACGAAAGAAGTCCCGCGGACAATTGTGGAACTAAATTTGACAAATGGGGAGTTCGGCCATGTTGTCGTTTGTCGATGTTGTCAAGGTGGGTTTGTTGTGGTAGATATTTTGTGAGTTTATTATTAAATTAGTGCATTATAAGGTTTATTTACGATGCCAAAAGTTGCAAAAAGTGCAGGTCGAGAAATGATATTAAAAGTGAAAGAGTTCTGTGAAGCGGAACAGAAGAATCGCAGCGTTTTAATACCATTAGACAATGTTCGCAAAAAAGTCGCCGCCATAACAGGTAAATTTTGGGGCTGCCATGTTAAACATATTTTTTACCAATTAGACTTAAGTTTTTCTAATGAGGAATTAACATAACACAACAAAAATTTGTAAAATTGTATTCAACAATAATGTAATTAAATGCGGAAAAAGTCACTGTTAGATTTTTTTTAATTGTTCATTTTATTGCAGGTGTGTTGGAGAGTCGTGTGTTATAAACAGACGGGTAGCGGTTAAAAACGTGGGCCAAGATCCAAAAGAAATTGTACGCCTAACAGAAGAGGCGTTCGAGACTGTTACAGCGGAAGATTGGGCAGTTCAATGCAAACATGTACAGCATTTGGAGGAAGAATATATAAAAAATGATGGTCTTATGGATGAAGAAATGCATCGATTTATTATATCTACGGCTAGTGATAATGAAACAGAATCTAATTCTGTTTCTATTCACTCTTCTGACAGTGATCATAGTATGACCGATCATAATTATTCAATAAAACTTTAATAAACCTTTTTAAATGTTATTTTATGTTTCTAATTTGATGTTGGTTGAACATCTTTATTTCCATTTTATATTTTAGAAATTACAGGAAGATTAATTTTTCACTAATCTGACCTTAGCAGTATAAACATAAATACCTATATAAAAAGACATTATTTTTAAAATATTCCTCGAACTGTTCGAGTACGTAATTAATCAAACTAATGTCAATTTCTCCTGATTTCCCCATACTATATAAATTTAACCGTGGCAACATTATGTCGCGCGAATACAGCGCTGCGTCTGCGGGACTTCTTTCGTGAAATGGACTCTAGGCTAAGATAAAATCGTTGCATCGCATTTGGAATGATGAAATGTCACCATTTCCGAACGAAAGGAAGTCAATGACCTTTGAAAACGTCAAAAATTTGTATGAACTGAAATTCTCGACCAACGAACTCATGTTTGTTATGAAAAATTAAATAATATTTTAATAACGTCTTTATTCAGTACTTCATAAACACAAAGTTTTTGTGAATTATGAACATAATCAATAAAATTAAATTATAGTAATATTTTGGGCAGAAAATAACATTTTCTTGGCTTCAGTCGGTAAAAAGGCGAGAATATCGATAGTAAAAAATGTCGAAATCAGTTAAAAAGTTGAACACAACGAAGTCGAAATAAACAAACCGCGTTCAAATGGGCGTTGCCTGACGTTTTGATACCGATATCTCGCTGATTACAAATAGATAAGCCCTCATATACTTTTGCGACATTGTACTAAATCGGAACTAGGTCCTCAGAGATAAAAATGTGATACATTCTTTGTACGCTACTGTGTTTCATAAAACTTTGTTTGGTACTATTTTTCTCTTACAGAATCTTCGTCACGGTATGAGAAAAGTAATAGTTATTGTTTACGGTGAATTAACTTATAATTACACAAGTTTTAATTCATAAAACTGCTGTGCCCTGCAGGTGAGCGAAGAAGATTCGCACGCAAATGTATGATGGTGACTCATCCAGAAAGTTGTGTGTAACTAATTTTGTAGCGTGTTCTGTGATGTGAAAATGTATAAAAAGTATTTATTAACGTTGTTCTTATGTGCTAGTGTTGAGTGTCAGTCTAATAAAGACTTGTATAATGGACAAGTGAATAATGAATTTTACAACTCCCAAGAGCAGAGTTCTCGGTCTTCAAGACTACCGAGTCCAGGTGACAGTGACTATAGGACGTATGTGTACAATAACAGAAGATATGGAACGGATCCCACAAGATATAACCCTTATAACCCTAATATAAATCAGCCGGGAGGATTCCCATACAATCCAATCAACACAAACCCTTTGGATGATCAGTTCAAGTATAATATTGTAAGTACTAAGTTTATTAGT